TACAGTATTTCAGTATTTTCCAAAAATGTTTCGGCATTGTTGTCATAACAGAAACTGATTTGTACGAGTAAGCATTTCATCATTCAGCAGCAATTTACGTATCGTAACTGGAGTACGAAAACTAAGAAGCGTTTGAGCATCTTCTTCAATAAAGAAATTTTTTGAAAATATCTCGAGAAGTAATAATTTTTCTGCCATAGTACCCTAATCATTTTTTACGTAGAATGAACAGAGTAATCGATCTGTATAACAAACAATATGCATTTCCATTTAAAGAAATGATGCAATTGTTAATTGCACATTCACTGTTGCATTTAAAAAAAATCTAAGGGCCTACAAATGTAGTACTCTTCGAACCATTTATCTTTCTCCTTTAGCATTTTTTTCATAAATGCATTGATAACGGAATTATTGCGTGAACTTAAACAATTGCGTGGACCACCGTGTATGTATGTATACATAAGAATCTAATCAGAGATAAATTTCGTCCCTTAATTTGATGCTAGCTTCAGTTTAATGGAATTAAGAGAGTATTAATGTAACAATGTTTTGAACATCATACAACGATTGATTTCTTCTCTATTATTTATGATCGCATCAATCGCTTGTTTAGGTTATTAGCGATAGACAATAATAATAATTGATGTTAATATTTCTATTTCAAGCCATTTAATTGTACTTTTTAAGTAATAAATTTACTTAACTCATTGGACCTAATTTAAATGATTAAAATAAATATGTTTCAAGTCTGTTTTAAACACGTCGAGACGTCCTTCAGACGCCTAAACTGGCACAAAATGCAATAAGTTGATTGTGGATGTTATGCATATTTAACAAATTTAATTGTTAACAATATACTAAAATGAAAACTTTAGCAATACTCAATAATCTCTGTAGTACTTTTAATTGGATATACCTTTAATATGGAAAACAATTTTTTTCAGTTTTGATTTCTGTGAAATGAACCATGAAAATTTGGAATTTACATAAACATCCACAGTCTAGAAATAAGTTACGTTCAACAGTATTGGTTTAATTTTGAATTCTTATGCAATAGTAGATTAATATATTAAGCTAGACGTAATGGAACTAATCTCAAATGCTAGCCACTTTTTTAAAAATATTTACAAGCAAATAACAAATATTTATTTGTAGTAATGAAAGTATTTCTCCTTCTACTTTCTGTTTTTACTTTTATGTATTATTATGATACAAATTTTTATCTTTGCCCATTCAATAATATGAATTATTAAACAATGTTCGTACTATTAAATATATTCTAATGTTTGGTCTGTTTGTTAATTGCAGTAGCAGGTTCTCTGAAAAGATTATCAACGTGTAATTTGCACAACATGAAATACCGTAATGTAAAACATTATCCTCGTATGTAAATACACTACAGTTCTAAAAGGACAATTATAACATTTTTCCCGCAGTATACTTGGCAGTTATTAATATTTGAGTTATTTTACTATACTGAAGTCTACACAGTTCTTATAATGGATTCGAGTATTTCTAGAATCAATAAAAACGCATTAAACGAGTTTGTAAGGAATAAGAGTGTGGAAATTGTTTAAACAGTTATATAATATCGATATTTTTGTCAAATTGCAGCGGTATGTTAAAATCACAGGTAAATATGCTAAGTTTTCGCTTTTATGATCGTTATATATTTGAATGTCCACCTTATCATGAAATAAAAACAATATTAAAGATCGCCGCAGTTTTTACTTTATGATCATTCCAATAATACTTGTACACGAGGAACTTTCTTTTTCTACAAATAAAACGATAAAAATTTGAATTCACAAAATATTCAGTCTATTGGTTACGACATAGTCCAATAAAATTACACATTTTCGTTTCAAAACTTGATCTGGGATCAGATATAAATGCAATATATGCTTCAGAAATTTCTATGTTCGACAGAATTATTGTCATTTATTCTATAGAAACTGCCGACAATCGAACGGCTCAAAACGAAAGTATAAACTTCTTCGAGAAGCATCAACTTACACGAAGACGATTAATTAGTACAAAGAAGAAAAAAAATTCGTGCAGACTTATAATTTGAGAAATTTTTTAATATAGTCAGTCCAGAATGTTAGTACACCAGTTTTACTTGTATTCATTATTATCACCATTCGATACACTGGTTATATCATTAACGTCAGTAATCGTAAATTCTACGAGACATTTGGCTTCCCTTCACACGCTAATTAAATGCCGAGCTCAGGTTATTTTCTCCAACGAGGGAAACGAGAATGAAAATAAGTAAGAAAGGAGAGATTTAAATACTCCACGTATGTACGTCTTACGGCATAACCGTCCCATTAAGTAATTTCTGAAGATTTTGATTCAATAACAGTTCAACATGTAGTACTTGTAATTACTATTGTTTACAATTCAGAATACACTTGCCAAAGTGATTAACTCTACAAAATTTATATTTAAATTTTACACTTAAAATTTATATTTAGAAATTAATATAAATTTATATTTAAAATTTATATCTAAAGTTCGTCTAAGATTCATATCTAAAATTTATTTTCACACTTTATATTTAAAATGCATATTTGCAATTTATATTTAACATCTGTATTTATCATTTATGTCTAAAATTTATATCTAAACTTTATTTGTACAATTTATTTTTACACTTTATATTTAAAATGTATATTTGCAATTTATATTTAACACCTGTATTTATCATTTATGTCTACAATTTATATCTAAACTTTATTTGTAAAATTTATTGTTAAAATTTATATTTAAAATGAATATTTAAAGTTTAAATTTAACATCTATATTTAATATATCTGCCTAAAATTTATATCTACAATTTATTTTTAAAATTTATTTTTAAAGTTTATATTTAAAATGTATATTTGGAATATATATAACATTTATATGTAAATTTATATTTCAATTTTATATTTCAAATTTGTATAAAATATAAAATTTTAAGCATCAATGATATGCTTTGGCGCTAAAAGTAAAAAAAATTCACAAAACGGAGTCAGTCACTTTGTCCTATGTACGACTCAATTGTCATTAGGAATAAGAATTCTTAGTCCATACTGACGTTTCTCAAATACTGCATTTATCAATATTCTAATTCTTCAAATCGATGTCTATTATTTTCATATTTCTATTTATCGTAACATCCGTAGTGAAACATGTAAAATGAACAGATTTAAGTAACCGTACTACACTATTTTAAATTACGACGTGCATTTAAAAAAAATTAGGTGTAATCATTACGAATAATCGTCCGAAAGCAACACGTCGACTTGGAACACGCTAGATGCCAAGAGAAAGAAACTAACGTTAATTTGTAACGAGGCATTCTGCTACCTATTAACTCTGAATTTCTGAGATATCACAGCCGTTCTGCCGGTACCTATCAGGTTGGTGAACGTTAAATGTCATCTTTCACAGTCAGTTTCCTCGTGTGATAACGCAAATTACGAGCTGCTTAGTTCATATGATACAAAATAGAGCGAATGGACTTGTAAGTGCATTCGAAATCAGTCGAGAAAGGACAAACTGAATGAATGTTAACACGTTAAATGTCTGTCCTTGGAGACCAACGGTATCTGTATCTTTTGTTTATACATAAACGCATTTTCCGTATTCACACCGCCGCCCAAATGGAAAGTAAAACAAAATTAGCTCCGTGTATAACGTGTTAAACCAGTTTTAGAAATTCAGCGAATTGGAGTGCGAAAATTTATCTCGTGTTCCCTCTACTGAAAGAATTCCCTTTCTTCAAATATTTGAATTACAAAACGATGCTGATGTGTAAATTGTCTATAAATAGTGTCGAAAGATTTTTTAGACTTCGGAACTGTTTTATAGCAGACTGGCCAAAGGTTAGTCGATCGTTGCGAAAAGAGAAAAAAATATTTCACCAGAATTATTTCGGTTAATCATATGCAGACGCGAAGAAGTTATATCCCTTCGAAGTTTTATTATGGAAAACGATATGTTAGGTGTGCTAAAGATATCTAAAAAAAAACAACCACAGTCCTCAACTTTACTTGTGTTCTCTTTTCTCTTTTCATTAATATTATTTATCAACTGATTTTAGAAAAATGGCACAACACGGTCCAAGAAATGTTCATTTTAATTTGACATACAAGAATTTTAAAACTCAAAATATCCCACTTTCCTGACCTTGGATTAAGATTCTACCGTTTCTTATTGCTCGATTAATTTTACAAAGATAGTATTTAAGTATTATTTATCAAGACACTGTTATGGATAAAATCATCTTCAAAGTTATATTACAAACGCAAATAAAAAAAATCATCGTTTCATTTTTATCATAGAAGAGTTTTAAAATTCAAAATATTCCAAAAATTATCACTTTCGTAATGTTGGATTAGGATTCTACTGTGTCTTATTGATCGATTAATTCTACACAGATAGTATTTCAATACAATCTATCAAGACATTGCTATGAGCAAAATTATCATCGAATTCATATTAGAAAAATGAATCAAAGAAATCTTCGTCTCACTTCTACCATAAAATAAGTTTGCAACTGAAAATACTCCAAAACCTTTCCTGACCTTCGATTAAGAATCTCCCTCATTTTCTTACAAATATTGCTCGATTAATTTCCCAAAGAAACTACTCAAATACCAAGGAATTATCTTCAAATTCATATAACAAACACACGAACCAAAGAAATCGACGTTTCACCTCTACCATAAACTACATTCCCGTCGTAGCACTCGTCGATCATCATTACACAGAAACGTCCAATCACGTTCTACTCTCAAATTCGATCAAACACCTCGACAACGTCTCAGAAATCCATCCAGACACACGTGTTCACCTGTGATGCTCGTGTACCTCCAACCCAGAACGATCGCCAATTTAAAAGATCAGAAAAAAAAGAAAACTCTTCCACAATTTTGAACTTCGTGTCCCGTCACGCGGCCCAGCCATCGATAACTCGCGTCAGGACGACGATTCATTCAGGGATATACCTTCCGGACCTTGAAGACAGGACAGCTCGATGGAGTAATCCCAACATTCCAGCGAGTTCATCTGCGTCTGCGGGTCCCAGACCATGTCCACGCTCGGCCCGTTCATCTTCCAGAGCGAATATCACTCGAGGAAAAATCCTTCGCGATTCACTATCAACCTTTTTCTCTCTGTCACTTAGGGTAAACTCGTTGAAAGGGACACACGAAATTTGCGCGCGCGCGCACGCGACCTGTCCACGAATCCTGAAGATAATACACACACACACACACACACACACACACATATACACTGGATACGGACGATTTTGGGGTCCTTTTGGTAGGCGTCCACATCCAGGTTGATACGGTTCCGCGATGGAACGTCTCGGGTTATCGACCACAACCGGTTCCACCAAAGGTAGCCGGTCTTCTGTGAATCCTAGGTAGCCGGGGAACGTGTGCAGGCCCCAAACGTCGAATGCCCATCCACCGCCTAACGCGACCCTCCCTCTCCTTGGAGTTCCTTTCCCCTACCACCTGCATTCTTCGGAGCCTCTCACCTTCCTTCTCCGGTTCAGGTATAAGCATATGTCCTCTCTTTCACCTGGTCCCTCTGTATATGTAATTCCCTTCCTGGCCTGGTGGTTGAACATCTTTCCTCGGGTATATACCCACCGCCTGCTCCCCTCGGGGTACTCTCACTCCACCTGGATCGGGCAACTTCTTCTTCCTTTCCCTTCTTCCCATTTCGTAAACCGCGTGTATCTGTTTCTGCGGGTGTGTGTATGTGCGAGTATATATGTACACCTCACTCGATATGCACGTGCAAACGCTGTCCCGCTTATGGTACTTTTATTTCCGAACGCATGTGTGTTGCCCCCCCCGCGGGCATGGGAACCGCGACGCTTGAACCGTGTTGATTTTTTCATTCGGTGGATCGGAGGGATCGATGCTTGGCGACGGTGTCGCGTAATGGGGAGGATGTTGGGTTATTGTTTGCGATTGGCGGTGTTGGGGCGGATTTTCACCCGGGAGATTAGTTTTGTTCGACCGATGCGTAAAGAGGAGTCTTTGGATTCGAGCCCCTTCTTGGAGTCAAATGGATAGATTCAGTCTTTAGATTCGAATCCCATCTTGGACTTAAACGGATAGATTGAGCCTTTGGATTCGAAACCTTTCTTGGAGTCAAATGGATACGTTGAATCTTTGAATTCGAATCCTTCCTTAGATTCTAATGGACAGATTGAGTCTTTGGATCCGCATATTGGAGTTAAATGGGTCCAGCGAGTCTTTGGATTCGAATCCTTTCTTGCAGTCAAATGGATAATTGAGTGTTTGGATTCGAATCCTTTCTTGGAGTCAAAAGGATACATTGAGTCTTTGGATTCGAAACCTTTCTTGGAGTCAAATGGATACATTGAATCTTTGAATTTGAATCCTTCCTTAGATTCAAATGGACAGATTGAGTCTTTGGATTTGAAACGTTTCCTGTCGTCAAATGGATGATTGAGTCTTTTGATTCGAATCCTTTCTTCGAGTCAAACGGATAGATTGAGTCTTTGAATTCGAATCCTTTCTGGGAGTTAAATGGATACAGCGAATCTCTGGAATCGAATCCTTTCTTGAAGTTAAATGAATTCATTCAGTCTTTAGAGTTGGGAAGTTTAACATTGAAAACAAAGAGTTATTAAGATTTGAAACGTATTGGGTTTAATTAGGCGTATTGATAAGTAGTCCACTATTTCCTCTGAAATTCTGTACTTTTTCTGAAATAATTCGAATCCATATGCTATCTCAACGACAGTAGTTATTTGTTTTCATCATACTCCAACATGCATTTTATTCATTGCATTGTCGATGCATTGAAATTATATTGAACTACTTATTGGTATGTCTAATATTATATGAATTTGCCATTTCCATCGAAACGGAACCGCTTATTTTAGGAAAAATACTTTTTAAGAGATTGAAATATGTTCTGTAACGATTAATAGCTTTCTTCAGACTAGATATTATCTGATATATATTTTTTAAAGAAAAAGTGGCATTTTCAAATTCTATGAATTCTTCAAAATCTGCAACCACAGGGTCTCGATTAGGGAATCTTTTGTATTTTCAAAAATTCATCTGATAATTCAACTACCAGCAGTCATAGTTGCAGTAGCCATTTTATTACATAAAAATAAAGCAAAAACATTACAGATTTTCACCAATTTCTTCATTTCACTGTGATTTTCGTGTTTGCATGTAGTATAAATAAATGCGTATAGTTTTAAACTTTCCAAAAAACTTTTTCAAACATCAACTATTATAAGTGAATTATAATCAATCTAATTATTCAAATTTTTATGAAAAATTTAATTTAATCATTAAAAAGTTTAATTATAAAAAATGTTAATCTCGATGAGAATTTATTAATTCAACGATTGGACGATGGATGTATATGTAATAATAACTAATTTATCGAATGGGAAGATCTAAGGAAATGATTCATTTTCTTGTCATAAACTCAAAAAGTAAGTACTTGCTCTACTTTTTAAGGCATAATACATACAGAATATTATTCCGTTCGCTTTGCCAATGTGTCCAACCTTTGTGTAAAAGTACATTTTAATTTTTAATGCGAACTGAAACATCGTATTCGCAATCTTTCAGAATATTCATGTACATACGTATGTATTATTCATTCACAATCCAAGGTTTCAATAGCACTTATTCGACTGTATGCCTACTTTTGTAAACAAAATTCTTATTATCTTCGTTTGATGCATTTTAATAAATATTCAATTTTCACGAGTCATTTTTCCTTATTCTTCATATTTCATTTTTTGTAACGTACAGAGCTCATACTAAAAAATTTTCCTTGTCTCATAAACTCTGAAGCAAAACAAAACACACATTTATATACAAATAGGGATTTAATCAGGAAATTATAATAAAAAAAATCAAGAATCAGGATAAAAACTAAATTAAGGATAACTACTGGGTGGCGTGCCAGAGTTAAAATCATTAACTTACTTTCCAAGGAGACTGTACAGTCGAAGAAATAGGTATTCATACACTGGTGACGATTTAACAATCTTAGTCTCATTATAACATTAGGACAAGAATGATTTACCTACTTCCAAGCACACTAGTACAAGTTAGCTTTATATTAATTTACAGCTAGATGGAAATCATTTTTAACTTATCATTTTACTAAAAACAGTATTTATTGTCACTGATGATAAAAATCATCGGTATATGAATATTTTTATTTTGCCATGTTTATACATTTACATCATTCTTCAGTCCTCAATTCTTCTGTCATTCCTTTTTTCGCAATTTTAAAGGGCAGCAGCAGGCTTTTACTTTATTTTTCAATTGAATTATTTTCTATTTTTAATGATAGATAATTAGAATGAAAAAATCATTTTTTGAGTAAAAAAATGAGAAAAATCGAATTCTCTGTCCCAGTGGCGTACGAAATTCGCCGCTTCCGCGTTTTTGAGGGTTATCTCTTTCGATATTATAGACGACTATGGTGTGATGATAGTTTTGTCATTCTGTTTTTTGACATATGTCAAGTACAAGGTCTACAATTTATTATAATGTCTTCAATTTCAATCGAAAATCGCATAAAAATAATTAAAAGCTACTACGAAAATGATGGATCTGTGAAAACAACATATCGCAAAATTTCAGAATCAATGAATTTATTACGAACAAAATTTCCCGATCGAATAATTTCGCGTAATTCTGCAGTCAATTGGCCGCCTAGATCGTGTGATTTAACGCCGTTAGACTGTTTCTTATGGGGCTATGTGAAAGATCAAGTTTATGCAGATGATCCACAATCCATCGAAGCCTTCAAAACCAACATCCGACGCGTAATTGGTGAGATACAGTCGCAATTATGCAAAAATATAATCGAAAATTTTGACAAAAGGATCGACGTTTGTAAACGTGGTCGTGGACATTTGTCCGATATTCTTTTTGATTCATAAATTGTAAACTTTCTACATTATATATCAATACTTAAATACAGACCTTCCATCCAAAATGTGTGTTTTATTTAAAATTTAAAAACAAAATCCATCCGGAGAAGCCTTTTACTGACAATTCTGTCCCATTTTGATCTCTAGATATCAGTATCGGAAATTATGAATTTACATATACTTCCGCAGTCTATCAACAATGCACTGATCTCCTTTTTCACAGTAAGCAAAACCGTTTCGAATTTTCAATTCGGTCTATAAATTCTCTTCTCCATCGCTAAATAAATGCATTAAGACGGCGACGCAGGTTGTGTCCCCTGTAACTTTCCATTATTTTCCCGCGCTGTATGCATTTCGATTTGCAATGTAAAACAAGGGGGGGGGGGCGTATGGACGACAGAAAAGGTATATTTAGAGACACCAGACGCCGCGCGGCGTCCTTTCAACGGCGACAAACGTATCGAAAGGCGGCGGCTGGCAAAAGCGACCGGCGAACGATTTTTCAGGCCTCGAAACTCGAGCGACCGGCCGGCCGGCGGGGATACACGTTGCCTTTTTCCGCATCGACAATCATTTTCAGACGCAACCGAACAACTTTCTCGTGTGTATGGCGCGCGTCGTAACCAGGAAACGATTTATTGCTCGATTCGGGGGAGAGTTCGGGATATAAATTAAACAACGTGGAAATCTAGTCGCTGTCGTTGGATCGATTATTCGGGAGATATGTCGATACTTTTGTCTTCACTTGAGGTAAGGTGTATACAGTGATTCCTCGATGAATGCGACACGAGCAACGGCGTTATTCCCACCACTGAGGGTGTCCACCTCTGGAAACAATCAAAATAAAGTAAACACCCAACGGAAATATCACTAGGAAGTCGTTTCCACGATTCCTTGGGAGGGGAATCGAGCGTTTCGCGGCGAATCAGACCGTAATTCACGAGGGAAGGTAACTTGAAACTATCGATATTTTTTTTTTAAACTTAGCAGATTTTTACGGTATCTCGTTAAAAGTGTCAGGTAATGCTTCTTTTTTGTTACCTTTCGGTTCTTCTCGGTGAAAACACACATTATAGGTTAACCTATTAGTAGTATTGATGGTTGGCCAACGGTATTCAACAGTTGGGAATTAGTTTGGATATAATTAGTG